GAGGTGAATTGATCAGATTCATGGTTATTCCTGTATGATCTATCGTTGACATGGGAGGGCAGGCAGAAAGAGAAATTGTTTGGCTCTGTTTGGTCTACCTCTACCAAAGCCTTGTCTCGCCTTAATCCGGGTACATACCTTTCCATCTTCTTGATCATTCACGACACTAACCTGTATTTCGCCAACTATCTCGTACATCAAAGTCGTACAAAATGGTTAACATCCCAAAGTACGTATCCTTTCAGTCTAGCGATGGGACGATTTGCTAACTGTCCGCTACCACAGAACCCGAAGAACATGTAGGAGCTCGACCGAGATGTCTTGGATTTAATCTAATTCTTCTTCCACAGATTGCAAAGGCAAGACCTGCAAAAAACACACGTGAGTGGTGGTCGGCAGCGGGTCTATCCCAATTTACGACGCTGACAAACACTGCTACAACAGCCCACACAAAGTCACCCAATACAAGAAGGGAAAGGATTCGCTGGCAGCTCAGGGAAAGCGACGTTACGACCGAAAGCAGTCGGGTTATGGTGGACAGACGAAACCTGTGTTCCATAAGAAGGCCAAGACAACCAAAAAGGTCGTATTGAGACTGGAGTGCACAGTCTGCAAGTACAAGATGCAACTGCCTCTCAAGCGCTGCAAGCAGTACGTCTCTTTCCTAGACTCATCCGTCTCTGCTCACCCTATTTCCTCAGCTTCGAATTAGGTGGAGACAAGAAGACAAAGGGTGCTGCTCTTACTTTCGTATGTGTCACTAGTTTCCCTGTTCTCGATGGGAGCACAATGCTGATTTCTATCACGCTAGTAAACCTGATAAAGCCGTACTATGTCCTTGCTGTACACATGTCATTACGTCCAACTATGCAATATGATGATATTGTGGCTCTAATACTCATTCTGAATCCATAGTCTTGGTTAATCGAACCATTATCGCCGAGCCCTGTGCTACAATGCAAGAGAATCTTAGTCCGTTCATTGGTGGATGACCTTACAGGAAGGCCGGATTCAAGCTTACGAAAGAGATTAAATAAAGCTCCAGGAATTTGATGAAGATGCAACTTTGCTTGTCATTGATGAGGTTTCGGCTTACTACAATACGGTATATTCAGCACGATGAGCGGAGCCACAAGGCCATCCATCAGACCGGATACACAGGGTAATTGTTACTGTTTAGATACCTTATCAGAGCTCCATCGTTCCTATGGTCTAGTGCGTTTCATCAATGAAACTTGAGCAAGAAGTCGATCTGAATAATGGTCCAACTGTCGTCAGCTATGAACAACCAACATGATGCCAGCTACCCAATTGGACGCGCAAAGAGGGGGTCGACAATGAACGAAGTAAACACTTTGGCCAAAATCTGGGCGAACAAGACGCGTTTGTTTGTGTCGGCCTCCACAGTCTGATGGATGCAGGTGTTCATGCGCTGTATCTTGGAGTCTGCGCTCATTATGTTCAAGTCGCTTGCGCTGTGCGCACTAAGGAATGATAAAACAAAACGAAAGTTCAAGGTCGGAAGTATTTCTTTTCACGGTTCCCTCCTTTCCTTCCCTCTCTATTATCTTCACGCTTGTGCGCACAATGACCTCGTCCGCTCATTTTTATCAACTCCACACTCACAATCTGCTACAACGTCAATCCAACAGGTTGACACCACTACAGTAATTAACTCAATGAACAAAATGGAACATCTCATCGTGAATGAAACCGCGTGGCTACTTAAAGATCGCATTGAAGTGGTATCTGCGGAAACATTCCTGAAGAGCAACTTCCAGTCTAAAAGCATGGATGCCAGTCGGAAAACCATGGAGGAGAAAGTCTCACACTTTCATAACCTCTCTTTTCGTTCGCACGATTTAAAAGAGAAGGAGATGTATCAACCGCTGGTAAGTATCCTTTATTCCTCATTGTTCACAGAGCCATCTAACCGTCATCTACAAGACCAAAGCCATCAATTCTGTCTTTTCTCAAGATCAGGGCGTTCATTCTCCACATTGCTTTAGGATTGATTCCTCCCGCTTTTCAGTTGAGGCAACGACTGGAATTCACACGAAGATGGCCCCGGACCTCTTCATCACCAACAGTTACCAACGTTCCATAGGTCATAATCCAACATTGAATAAGGATGCGCCGTTTCTATGTGACGGCCTCTGTGTTGAAGTCAAGGCGCAGGATTCTTGGGACCCGAATTTGATATGGACCGAGGCCTCAGGGAAGACACAGTTTCAGTCTCCCCTGACGAAGAACCAAAAGTCCCTTCTATTGCAAATCATACGCTATGTATCAATAGGGCAGTTTCCCTCTCTCCG